TTGTTGTTTTTTATATAGAGTAGTGTGTGTTGTGTAAGAGTCCCAGAAAGATTATGGTGTCACCTTAATACTTTATAAAGGGCTTTAGTAGCATTAGAATATTACTTAAGTAACCTTAACAACAATTCAGACCCCACTTACAAAACTAATTTTAAAAGGCATCTGATGAAGTTTGAGAACCACAAGAAATTGTTATTAGTTATAAAAAGAGAAGAGGAAGAATTTAAAAGTTTAATTTCCATCTAGTCATCTCCTCAGTGTAGGCTATCACAACAATTTGTTCTCTTATTAGTTGATAACAGTAGAACCTTGTCCCTTTATGCTTCATGACCTGGTAGCAGACAGATTTCTGCATAAATATTTTTGTCATGTAAGAAACAGATATGGGACCTAAAACAATAACAAGGCACTAATTTACAGGTTAATTATTGTGTATTCAGAGTTGTATATTTTCACAAGCAAGCACACTGAGAAAGTTACAAACAAATTAAATCATAAAATGTCCTAATAAAGAAGCATTAAAACTGTGTGAAAAAATTATAGGAAGATGCCAATAGAAACTGTAGAGAAAATGTAATTTACTTGAATGCTTTTGTAAGAAATATGCAATTTACAAATAAACCAGGTTTGCCTGCATTGTACCCAGACATCCATCTAAGACAGGACCTTCAGAACACCATAATTTTTTCCAAAATGATTGATCTTCAGTCAGTCAGTCTGACCACCAGCTGGATAAAGGTAAGCCAGTTAAATGCTCTCTGGGTCATGTCTGGTATAAAAATAGCCACACTTCACTAGACAGGTCTAAGATGCTCAGGTTCACTCTCCTGTCTCCACTCTGCTGTCTCTGGCAAAATCCAGCAGCACATGCCTAGGGAGCAGGCACCCCTGTCACCCTCTCTGCTTCCAGCAGCTTATGGCTGCTCATTCAAAGAGGTTCAACAGATGGGTTCAATGGGCTTTTCCTCCCCAAAATTATCTGGTTTTTTTAAACTTATATTTACTTTTAGCCTCCATACCACCTTGTGCTAATCAGTTCCATATTATAATTGCACAAACATTCTTCTTTCATCCTCAAATTATTTTACAGGAATGTTTCAAAGAATTCCAGAAAGGCTGCCTTGAGGTTAAAGGAAAATGACTTTTCATTTCAGTGACCTGTGGTTTTTATGTCTACAGATAAGAGCATTGCCTGTCACTGTAGTAAATGGATCAGATAAAACTTTTAAATGGTGTTGTCTTCCTACATCTTTAAGTCCAAATGTTCTATTCCTGTGGCTTGCAGAGACAGGTGGTGCTAATATATAACAATGAGAGAGACTCAGTGTGAACTTTGCTTTGGGGAAAAGCTGGGCTCAGAGTTTAGTCTCTTGAAGCTTCTCCCTATAACAGATGTGGATTCCTCTGTCCTGATATTGTTGTTCTCACTGGCTGCAGTTTAATTAATTTTCAAATGTTTCATTAAACTTTTCCCTATATTTTATAGCATCATGCATAGAAAGCTTGAAATTTCCTAGATACAGTCTATCACACCCTTAAGGATTTTTATTTAAGTGTCATCTGGAACAGGGCTGGGTGACCTGGGTGGCTCTTTACGATCAGATAAAGATACGATACGATACGATACGATTACGATATTCAGAGTCAAATAAGCACATGCCTCTTTGACAGAGACACTGCTCAGGCAGTAGCTTTCTGTGTGTATAACTGCTGATGCTGGATTTGAGTCACTGGACCTAAATTTTGTTTATTACTGTTATGGATAAGTTCAGGGGTTTTTTTTTCCAGGCCTCATGTTTATGGCAAAATTTAATACATAATTTTTTCATCTGTTCTTGAAGCACCTTGCATTTGCAAAGTCCTGTCAGTCCCTCTAATAGGTGTTGCTTTTCTTTTCCATCTGCCTTTCCTCCTTTTTGTATTACATTGCTTGCAGACCTCCAATGGGAGTTCTCTGCTTCTACTTTCTTCCTCATTCTACTTCTGGACTTTGTTGGAGGGTAATACCCATGAAAAAATATACTCCCCAGCTAAAATGGATGTGGACATGCAATAAGTCTGAGAAAAATGTGCTTTAAATAGAGATGTAACTTTTCCTCAAAGTGAAAGTGAGGCCATTAAATGGCTAAAAAGAACAGTGTTGCCAACATAGTCCTTCTAATCTGTGTGCATTTCATCACTGTAATCCCTCAGTAAAGCTATTCTAGCAGGAGCATGGCCAAGAACTCCTTGAAAAGCAGCTTCTTCTCCTACTTGCACCTAATTCTAGCTTCCATGTTTCCATTTTAGTCTTGTTTATTGCACTGCTTCTTCAAGTCTTCTCATGTTTTCTCTTAATTCTTTTTAAATAATTACCTTTGCTAATAAGCATGTCATGCTTGTTCATATGCTTATTTTTTCAAATGCTCCACCTTAAAATTTGATGGTTTTTTTCAGATTCATCAAATAAATAATTTAGAATAGCTTGATGATTATCTTGAAGAGTTATTTAAATAAAATGTAGATTTTTCTGACATTTTAACCTTGTCTTCCAGAAGGACAATAACAACAGAGTTCAGAGAGTCTTCCATGCCATATGAAAGAAATATGCACATTTCAAGGACTGAGGTAGCTTACTTTTTGATATTCCCATTTGTGCTGTTGCTTTTTTCAGAAGGTTTGAAATTGCAAATGTACAAAACCAATTGCAGGCCACTTTATTTACTAAAAAAAAATTGTCTACGGCTTCTGAAACCTGTGGTTCAAACCTTTGATTTTTTTTCCTTTGAGTACTGCTGTTATTTCAGGAGGGCAGGAAGGGTGGGGGGAGAGGAATTCTGAAGAACATTTTAGTTTTTTTAAACTTCCTCTTTTCATTGAACAAGAAATCTGGTAGATACACACTTGGAAATTCTGTTGTTGGCATTTCCAATTCCGAACAATTGAAAATTTAAATTTCATGAAAAACAATATAAGACTGAAGATTGCCATTTTAAGCTACCTTTCTTTTGCTTGCTGTTCTTTGTTATTAAAAATATGGCATTCTTTGCCTGCTAGGATATTTTGAATAGACGTATTTTCAAATAGCACTTCACATGTTTCAGACTTGGTTTTATTCATTATTTCATGAAGAAAATCCCTGCTGCTTCTCAGTATTGAAGGTCTTGATCTTGTAACTAACAGGATGTTAGTGGGCAGCTATTTTTGCTCTGAGGAAATTGTTCAAAGTGATGCAAGAAATGGGTAGAGATCAGGGAAAAATCACCTTTTAATGATAACTACAGTATATATCTCTGTTGAAGTCCTCCAGGCATCCATGTGAACTTTTTTGCCCCTTCTCTCCCAGCTCAGCAGCATTGCCCTACCTGGCTGCAGACCCTGGTTTATGCAATGCAGGTGCAAATATGTGCTGAAAGTCTGTTCCAGCAGCAGCCCAGCTTGTTGCATTTTCACACTGAAGGCTTGTACCCGTTTCTGAAAAATATCTTGCAATTCTGATCTTACATGATTAGCAGGTCACAGCTCTTTATTTGCCCAAAAAATACTGGAGGACCACGTGAACTTGCATGCTGTGGCCCTAAACCTTATGTACTGGGGCAGCATGCCCAGCTGGCCCTGCCACCAGTGCACACCCCTTGGAGGCACCACCACAGTGCCCATCACTTCTGGCAGCTGAAAACCAGGACTCATGACATGTCCAACAGTAGCATGCAGTTCCTTTGCCATCTTGAGACTGAATTTGCCTTTGACTGCTGGCTGTTGACACTGCTTTTGCAGCTGAGCAAGCAGGAGCCTTGGCCCAGAAGAAAATTCATCCCATGCAGCTGCACAGCATTGGAGGGCAAAGGGACTGCACCCTGCTCTGCAGAGCAAAGCTGCTGGAGCTGTGCTCACCTCCCTCTGTTGAGACATCACTGCAGTGCCACTGCTGGGACCCACCTTTGCAGTAGCCTTAGGTGTAACAGCTGGATTTTTACATTCTGCCAGTTTGGTCTCTAACTACTGTGTGCCATAGTGTCTGCTGGAGGGCTTAAATGCTGTGAAACTGTGCACTGCTGTGTACAATACAGCACAGACAGGACACTACAACCTGAAACACAGAAGCAGGACTCTTGCACCCCCCCATACTGCTGCCCACCCTTTTCCACCCTCACTTTATCTGTTCTCTTGTAGAACACAGTATTGTGTCACCAGGCAATGCAAAAATGTAAGCAGTGTTTTCTAAAGCTAAATATATTTATTGGTATTCAGTCTTATTGCAAGCTTTTGCCTGGATGTGTTTTTACACTTGCTCCCAAGTGCAACTGGAAACACCTCTGCTGGCCTAAGGGAAGGGATAGGATAGGATGGAAAGAGCAATGGCAGTGGGGAAGCAATTTTCAGGACAACATTGGCTTACAGGAGACTCAGATGCTTGTACAACTGCTGTCTAAACACAAGTTTTTTGTGGTTAGTGTATGGCCACTTTCAGTTTTTTCAGGTTATCCAAGTCAAACTGTGTTGCAGTTTTGACCTGTAAGGTAAGATTCGGATTATCATATATACAGAAATAACAAAAATGAAAAGTCACTTACTCCAAGGCAGCTGCACAAAATGTGTCCAAGTATTAAAATGGTTCTAAGTTTTAGCTAAAACTTTATAAATTATTAATATTAAGGTTTAGAAACTACCCTCAAAGTTTCTGCACGTTGCTTTTTCAATATTCACCCAGTTTAAGTACCTTTAGCACCACAGATGCAAGTGCAAGATGAGAACCAGTATAATCAGTTCATCTGAGGCTCTGCAGACTGACTGTGCACAAAGACTGTAATTAGCCATGTAAAGCCATGAGGGACTAAAACTGGGTGCCAGTAATCTTGCTAGGGTGCTATATTTACTGAGTCTATCTTGGTAGTGATCTGTAAGAGGTTTAAAGTTGCTCTCAAAGGCAGAGTTGGTGTTTGAATGATCATTGTTGGGAAGCAAGAATCAACATTTGGATGAATAAATACTGAAAAAGGTTACCTGGTATGATTGATGCAATGGGTGCTGCTGGATCAGCAGATGACATTAATGCTATGGAAATTCACCACTGGTACACAAAGTTTATGAAGGAGTGCCCATCTGGACAGCTTTGCCTGCATGAATTTAAACATGTCCTGGATCTACACGGACTTACTCCTGAAGCTAACAACTACGTTGAGCAAGTATTTCACACATTTGACATGAATAAGGTAAGAATTCATTCTTGACTTCCCGGCTTTCTTATGGCTGTATCATTTGGTGCACGTGTCTCAGAGAGCTGCAGGCTCCCTACTCAGAGGTAATGGAAGTGATTCAATAGCAAACTCCAAGCAGATAAACAAGAGTGGCTAGCAAACAGTGTTGAATGCTCTGTTCCCAGTACGTTTTGCCAATTTGAAAGTTTCATACAGCCACTCTAATGCATGCTGATGGCTTCTCATCTTTGAAAACCAGACTTTTATTATTATTTTCAGTGTGCACTAATAATTGAATTTTTTATTTATATAGCTGCTTGAAAAATCTTTGTAAGGCAGTGAGTGTTCAGCGGGATCTATAGGTATTAATATACTTTCAGATTATGCAACATAGGAACAATAAGATTCCTTCTGTCACGGGACTCACTCTGAACACCTTCTGTGGCCTAATTCGGTAGAAGTCAATCCCCCTTTTCCACATCTGTTTGGTTTTGATCCATCATCCCAATTTTATTGCTTAACATCCTTGCTCCTCCTAAAGACACATCCAGAGGCTGTTGGATGCATTGCTTATGTTGTCTTTTGTTATTATCTTGTGTTATCCCAATGCAGTGTTCATACAGGCTCCTTCAGCCACGAGACTCATCCAAATTTATTTTCCACTTAAGCCAAGGTAACACTTTCTACCAAATGTGACAAAAGGAGTGAGGAGTCATCTGTAATTCCTAAAAAAGTCACAGAAATTAGGCCTGGGCTGAATTGTCAATAGTACGAACTCAGATATTGCCTAATAGAACAGATGGGCCCATCTTGGAATTAAAAAAATGTTTTAAAAAAACAACAAAGCATTAGTGCTCTCTACCTGCATTATTTATCTCAATGAGTTCAGAGATGTAATGAAAAATTTGTTATTGCATTGCACAAATTAACAGCAGGTTAAAACTGGTCCAAATAGCCATAACTGCTCCCAACATTTTCCTTTTCTAGAAACTGCCTTTCTGTTCTTTATTATGGCATTAATTATACTTGTTTCAGAAAAGACTGTGAGTACACGATACCTTGTGTGCTTTTACATGCAACAGTACCTCTATTACAATGTTTTCTTGTGTTTCCATACACATCTCCACTCCCAATTCAGCTTTCTTTTTCTGGAATTATGTAATTCTTTCTTCCATAACACTCAAGGACTCTTCCTATAAAATCAGGCTCCTTGCATGCTCTTTTCTTCCCACTGCTAATTACCAGGTGGTTAAACATACTGAAATTTGATTAAGTAGTATCACCTAACTCAATAAATTTATTAATTACAGATGATGAACAAACTTCCAGTCTACAAACATGAAACCTGATTGGCAGAAATTGTTAATTTCCAGTGTTCTTTTCAATTAAAAATTTGCATTAAGTTCCCCAGAAAAGCATTATGTTCCCCAGAAAAGCTTTATGAATACAAACCTTCCTGGACAGTGCACCCAGAGAGTGTCTGAGCTCACCTAAGAGCTTTTCCAGTTTAGCACTAATGTGTACTGCAAAAAGCTCTTGACACTGCTCAGTGCTCTTGAAAAGTGTAGGGTGTTGGGGTTTTTGGCTTCTTATTTTATAGGAGAATGTATTTTGGTTTGTTGGTATTTTAATCGCCTTTCTCCCACTACAAGTAGCTTATCACCCATGGAGTAGTTTGCTCAAGTTACCTGAGGAATATTAAGATGTATGCCTTAAACTTGTCAGGTTATATACTTATCAGTTTAAGTCTTACTGCTAATCAATCTCTCATCCCCTTCTCTGATATCCCCTGAACTTTTTAATCAATTGGTATATTTCCACCAAGTTTCAAAGAGTAGGCATTACAGTTAATCAGTTCCTAATATTTTCATAAAGTTTGGCAGCTAGGTAGCAGGGACACACCCAGAATGAATGCCCCATTCATGCAGATATAAGGTTTTATTCACTGCTTAAGGCAACAGTTGGCTGAGAAAATTATCAGGAACTTCTTTCCTTTTGCCTAGACAAAATACAGGATAGAACTGGGGTACCAGCATTTGGTGTTTTAGGGGACAAAAGACAGTTTGTATGGGTCTAGGCTTTTGTTTTGCAGTTCCCAGAAGGGCTTGTTTAATTAATGTTCCATGTTAGACAGGAAAAGATGCTTCAGTTTTTTATCAGTTTGGAAGTCTTCCCCCCATTTTGATGAAATTTAACAATGATTTCACCTTTAGGACTTCATAAAATCCACTACTTACGCTACGCTTAAAACCTCATTATTTAATAATGTGCTCCCACTAAATATCTGATATCCATTTCCTGTTCTGCAAGATGCTGTAACAATCTTCCACTAGCTCCTACTAATCTGAGGCATAGATTTTGTTGTGCACTTTCTTAATTGAGCTGTTGCTCAGCTGCAGCAATAGGACCAGACAAAGTTATTTAGAAGGCAGAACAGGAATGGCACATTTACAATTGTCAATTACATAAGATTGTATAGTCTATATCCATTTGGAGGTGGAAATAAGATGAAGAATGGGGTTTCCGTTCCCAGAAAAGCAGCTGGCAAGTTTTAATCCCTGCCCAATCTATTTGTATAATTTAGTAGTTGGAAAGGCTTAAACACTTACAGAAATGCATCAAGCGAACCAGAATATTTTATCTGAATGTTTTATTTTTTCCCTTTAAATACTAATAAAAAAATCCATTTTTGATTAAATGGCAACAGTATAGCTACATTATACAGATACAACACATAGCATCTAGATAAGCTGTAGATCAGTTTTATTCTTCTCCTGCCTTGAATAAAGTCTTGTGCAAGCCTCATTGAAAACCCTGTGGCAAACAGGAACCAGGACCTTTCCAACAACGTGCCAGGATTTGATAAGTTTCCTCTTTGGCATTTACACTGCATCTGTTTAGTTAAACATGATGTGTATATTTCTCTGTTGTATTTTATCTTTCCTGTGAAGTCATTCAGGCTGGCTGAGGGGACTGATTTCCTTAACAAGCAGAAGGAACTGTGGCCATAGCAGCTTGCCAAGAGAAATGCATTTGGGAGTTTTATGACTTGGCATGGCTTTCTCAATAACAGTATCCTCATAGTATTCTTGGTCATTCCAACTGCATCAACACTTCTAACAAGAGCATGGATCAGGCAGAGTACAATGGAAAAGCATTTGTCTTCTGGTCTTAATGCAGAAAGCCAGCTCAAGACTCCTCTCCACGCTTAGCGAGACAAAGGATCTTACTTCAAGATGACTCAGCTCTTTCCAAGTTAGATGAACAAGTCTCTCTACCCTGCCCTATACATCAAGGGAAAAACAACTTACCTGAGTCAGTGGAAACTAATTCTTTCTTGACAGAAGACATTTTTTAAAATCAGTTTATGAAAAAAATCCTACACATAAATCAAGGTTCTGAAGTGGCATAACATGTACAGATGCAAAAAGCCATAATGCCATTTCATTTTGACGTTGAAAACTGCAGCATTAGTTTTCTTTTGCTTTCTTCACCCTGTCCCCTCCAAACACACTCTGCCACAAATTCTGCATGTTAATTTCTTCTGAAAGAGGAACATATTTTCTCTGCTGCCATGGTGGTAAAAATCACTGCCAGATCTGTGACATTAATGGTTGGAGAAAAGAATTTGAGATGAAATTTCTTGCAGCATGCATGTGTATAGATTTTAGGAAGTGAGATTCCAAGAAAACAACAAACTTAGGTGCCTGTAAGCTTCTCCCTGAACCAGAAATTGCTGAACATGACTCTGTCAGTTTCTATGATAACAAAAGTTCTATGCTTTAAATTTTCAAATTTTTATCACTTTATTATCTGAAAACCATCCCTGAGCCTGTGAACAGAACATGTGTGTTAAGTGGATTATTCAAATAAAACAATATGACTACTTTTTAGTGTCTCCCCATGCTCTTGCTGTTTCAAAATTATATAAATAAAGACATGTTGCTAAACCTTAGGATTATATTAGGAAAATTACTTATACCATGCTTGGTTTGGATAGCATGTTAAATCAAAGTGTGTGTTTTTAATTGGAGGGTCATGAAGAGTCTGTTTTCAGTAAGAAGTCCCCTTCCCAAATTTTACTAGCTCTGATTTCTACCCTTTCTTCAGGTGCTGTTTTGTGAATTTCACCCATGTTTGTATTCAAATAACCTGATATTGTCTGTGAGAGACTTCTGTGAGATCTGAACGATTTTTCCCCAATGCTAATGATGCTGTGTGATCTATTTGAAATTTAGCAAGAGTACCAAGGCCACAAAGATGACACAAGCTCTTATACAACATGAGCATAAATGTCATGTTTTGTCTTCAAGAGAGTCCCTGCAGAAGCACCTGAGAACATGTCAAGGTCACTCCAGACAAAGAAGGACCCATCTATTGACAAGCTCTTCAAAAATCTCCTAAACGAGTTGGTTTCCTTGTAGGTGGGGCTGGATGAGAGCCTTAAAACTCTCAGGTTTTCCCCTTTCACTGCTGGTAGGTTGTGTGAATATTTTTGTCTTCTCTCTCCTTTTTAAAAATTACTTCCCCCACCATTCTAAAGTAAATGAACTTTCTGTTCAGAGCTGCATTTCAGACAGTTGTAATGAATCTTTTCTGGTTTTCTTCTTTATCATTGCCATTTCTATTCTTATTTGGAAATCTTGTAAAAGAGTTATACAGATGTTTTACTTCTCTATTCACCTCTTATAAAAAAAAAAACAACTTTTAAAACTAGGTAGTGGAAGGAAGGCAGGCTCCAGCTTTTGCATAGATTAGAAAAAAGATTTTGTCATTTCAAGAAGATAAATGGAAAGATTTGATAAATGGAGTGGAAAAGGTGCAGTCCAAAAAAACAGGAATAGACAGGAATAAGTAGATAACAGCTTTTGAGGAGAGGGAAGAAACAACCGAAATGCAAAAGAAAAAAGCAAAATTTACAAAATTTTCATATTTAGCACAAGTATAAAGAGATGGGAATAAGTGTTCAAGGAGTGGAAGGAGGAAATAGCACCTCATCCTTTCTTTGTACGTTA